AGATGTGTATAAGAGACATATATTATATAGCATTAAAAATGTAATAATCTAATATTATCTGACTTATTTCACCACAATTTTATTTGTAGTTACGAGTCAAAAATATTCCGTGGCATGGATGTAACAATAAAATGATATCTAGAGAGCATAAATTTCGTTTAACGTATCTTTAAAATGTACGAGTTTTATATTGCAGAAGAAATTTACACTAGTTACGTAATAATTTATTAATTGTATTTGAATTTTAACAAATAGCAGCCCTCTCACCACAAAATTAAATATCAGGGCCATTTTGTGATGTTATAAATGTCATGTCTGATGGCACTTGTACAACTCAAAGCAACAACTTAGTTACAAAGATCGACTGGAAAAAATTGATTTGATAGGTTGCATTGATATTGTAAATTGCATTGCGCGCCACCATTCCCACTCATATTCGTCCTCCCCGACTCTGGGGAGGACGAATCAAAGTCATTCCCCATCCGGGGGGGGGTGTTGTCCAACGTAGTCTACACCTACACAACCTACAGTTTCCAGCTGATTCAAGGTCTAGCATGAATGTTTTAGCATTTAAGGTAAACGATTATAATATTATTTCCGTTGGTATAATTACGAAGGAATTTATTTTGAAACTTAATATAGAATTTTAAAGTCAAATTCCGTGATTTCATTCTCCCCAAGCATTAATTTGAATATTAAAATGGTAACGGCTGAGAGCAAGTGACATTGCTTGTTGCATTCACTGGAATCCAGTTTTACGCAGTGTTATATTGATAAAGCTGTTGTTTTTAGGGACGTGTTGTTATACGTTTTATCCAGGACTAGATCAATAAGATGTTTTGTCCGGTGCCTTGCTTTTTTGTATTAAAGAATTATGAACCGGGTTTTATCACCTCTGAAGCTTATTCGCTTATATAGGAATCCACTAAGAACCATATTATCGTTGGTTATCATTTTTTAGCATTTTTAATATTCTGTTGTTTTCTCTTAAATGAATAAATAATGCCACGGATCTTCGATGTTGAATAAGTTCGGTAAACTGTAAGTTAAATTTATACTTGTCATTCTGTTAAATACTTGGCGTTGTTCAACTTGAAAAAAAAAAATTTAGAAGGTATTTATTCGAAGGCTAAAATAAATAATCACTATATGCAAGGGAGGAACGAAAACACATTTTCCTCGTAAAGTTGTAAATGCCCACGTTCGCTGGATCAATGGTGATGGAAAAATTTAATTAAAGAAAACACCCAATAATATTAATTATATTGAATTTTTTCATAAAAAATTATACCTTCGTAAATTCCACACAAACTAGTTGAATACAAAATTGCGAAAATATTTATTCGTATCTCTAAGAATGTTTAAGCTCGCCAGCTGTTGTAAGGATCGTTACCACTCCGTCTTGAAAAAAATTTCAAGCTTACTTCGAGACCTTAAAATATAGTTCTTGCTTAAAAACCGAACATTGGAGTGGAGATAAAAGAAAAAATTCGAGTTAGTCAGTAGGTACTGATGTTTGCCTTCTGAAAAAGTTCTACAGCTGAAACGCGCAGAGTTCATCAATCATCACATTTTATTTTCTTCGCTTAGATTAATTTGATAAAATTTTAACTTCGACAACAATTGAAAATGTTTTTTAGAATAATCTTGCTAGTTTAATCCTTGCTTCTCGACCTTAAAGTCACACATGACGATATTTAAGCACATTTTCCAATAGATTCCTGTCCTGGACACATTACTTCTTTTTTCTGACTATCGAGAAGTATAAGTAGATGCTGATGAGTGATGTGAAGTAAAGAAAAAAATTCATAGTACCTTATTATAATTAATAAAGATTTTTATAGTCAATAATTTACTTTTCCTTTTAACTCACAAATTAAATTTTGAACTAATGTGCCAGTTGTGAACTCGTGCACCACGTAGTTGCTTCAGGAAACAAATTTTGAAACATTCGACGTGTAACAAGCCTTTTAACAAATTATATTTTTATTTACTGCTGACAAATTTTTTTTATTGAGAGAAAAATAATAATAAGAGACAACAGCAAATAAATAAATTCTCTGCAATAAGAGAAAAGAGCAAACACATTTTTAGGATCAATTATGTGTTTCAGCTTGCATGAAAGATTTTTAGTTCAATAAATAGTTAAGTGCGTCTGAAGTTGTACCTTAATTCAGTAATTGGCAATATTTTTTCTTAAATCTGGCGATATCGAGAAATAGTACAAAAATATATCAATCAGGTCATAGTTAATTTATAAATATTTTTATTTTAGATCCTACCATTTTCTTTACTTAGTTCATTACGTAAGCTCCCTATATTGTATGTTTTTATTAAAATATTTTATTCATTTTTTTTCAGAATACTAAAAAAGCACGTNTATTTATTTACTGTGCTCTCTGGCTTTTGAGCCTTGCACAAAATACGAGGCATGTTTTTAGAGTAAATACTGTTTTTAAATTACGCCACCGCAACGCGGCGGCCACCGTTTTAGCGAATATGTGCCTTGTAGTTACGTTTGTTGGGAACCCACAGACGGCATTTTCGGGATCATGCGACTAACTCTACATCTGTTTCCGTAATTTTAAATTGCCTCCAGCTACTCAGAATCAAGCCGAAATGCGTGCGTTTCTCTGTGTACAAGGCTTCAAATCAATTAACATTCATCGCCAAATCATCGAAGTGCTTGGTAAAAACATTATGAGTGATGGAAATGGTGTGGAAGTGATTAAGGCCTTTAAAGATGGCTGCACAAATATTCATGATGAGAAACAAAGTGGGCGACTTTCAGTCATTACCGATGATCTGACTCAAAGTGAAACAGAACAGACGATTCAAGATTTCGTTCTTCACTGAAAAATTTATTGTTGTCTTGCTGAAGAATTTCCTGAAGTGTTCTTTACGAAATTGACTCGGTTTTCTAATCAGGCAGCAAGCTTCTTCGACTATGGCATGCAGAAGCTGATCCCAACTCCCAAGACACGACATATAACTCGATGTTAGTGGGATTTATTTAGAAGATTATAGTTAGGTATGGTTTTTCATCGGAATGGATTATTTTTGAGAAAATTTACAGGTTGTTTCTTTATATCAAAACGTTTACTAACTTAAAAAACATGCCTCGTTCTTCTAATTTACCAACTGGTATATTGCTAAATGACTCACGTCCACTGTTTGGTTGAGATGTATGATGGCGATGTCGTTATTTTTGGTGGTATTGTCGTATGACTTGTGAATGTAAACTGCCTTCACGAACCTTTCCACAACACTTGTTTCCGACGGATCAGAGATATTGTGCGCTCTCAAGTGTACCACCATATTCGCGGCCGTCAGAGCCTGTGATCACACATCGTCAAATATCCGGTCAAATGACACGATTTTAGATATTCTGTGAACAAGGCACGAATAGGAACAGAATCGGCGACAGGCCACATCAGGCCTACACTTCAGCGCCGAGATCAATATGTTATGATCAATATGTCACTTGCGTCTAATGATTAAGTGAAGGTAATCAAGAGCTGTATTTGATGCAATCTAACGATCATATAGTTGTCACTGACTATAAATTTTTCAGCTATTAATTTTAACTCCTGTCCCTAATACAATGGCTTTTATATTAGTATTTCATGACTCTTTTAGGCTTAATTTTTATCTCATCTTTCATTTGATACGTGCTTCTTTCAACGTAACAAATTGTATACCTTCCATCAATTATTTACACATAAAGTTTTCATTGCCCTTTCATTCAGATTTCATATTAGTGTCTTCGTAAACTTAAATGTATCATTCATGTTGGCTTGAATCGTTAATTCCAAGATAAACAAATCTAAATCTGATAACTCATTTCTAGGTCTTTATCTCAATGTTATTGGATCATATCATCAAGTCGATTATGATTCATCCCGATACTTTGTAATAATAGCATTGAAATAAACTTAGTCACCGTAGTATTCGATTGCTAACCTCGAAGCAGTGAGCAGCCGTGAGTATGTGCTGGTTGGTGATGAGCGAACCACCGCACATAAACTTTTTGGTAGCGGCGATGTAGAGCGCAGCTTGCCAAGGGAACTCGTTGACAAGTGTGTTATTGCCGCCGACGATGCGCGTCAACTTTTTGCCGCACTTGCACGTGCTGTTGAACTGAGCTCGTTCGCTCTCTACGTCTAAATCGAAGTCCATTTCTCCTGTGCATGGCAATTTAGAAATATATAAGGTCACTTTTGTTCTATCAGTAAAATTTGGATCAGAAAATCAATAATTATTTAAATTTCTCGATTTTTCACCAATGTCACTGCTTGCGCATGAAATGGCGTTCTGAAAAAAATTATTGTTAATCTTCGTCAAAAATTAGGGTATATTAGTTCATCCTCTTTCAGGAGTCTCTATTTATGTGTAAAATACTAACTAATGATATTTTATGATAGTATTATAAAAGAAATCATTAAAATTATTACTCAATAATCTCTCTTATCTATTAATTGTTTCTCTATAGGTTAAATGCGTTTTCATCAATATTTTGTCGTTTAATTAAGTATTAGAAATTAGAATTAGAAATAAAAAATCCTGCTGGGAATTAAAGACCCATGGCTTTCATTTAAATTCCTAGAAAATATCGTCTATAAGTGATACATTAATTTGCAAACTCACCGAAGTTTTGGACGGATAGAGCGGCAGGAGAGACACATGATATCAGAGCCACCGCCATGACGGCTAGCATCCACAAGATGGCTTGTGACGACATCGAGTATCAGGGTTTTGTAGCCACGCACGAACTATAACGAATTGTAAGAAGGATAAGACTGTAGAAACCTAATACATATTTTTTATAAACCTCGACATGTTTAGCAACCAGATTTAGGATATGCGCTCGATACTATTAATTGCTGAAAATATTTACCGTAAATAAATTAAAACAATTTCTGTATTATTTTAGGTATGGACTATGTAATACTCTGAATGAACTGTATATGTGGGATCATATAAAGATGTAAAATCTTTTGAATGATCTCTATAGTAGTTATTGGTGAATTAAGTTTGATTAACTGGATATCAAGTTAAGGTAAATAATTAGGATAATTAACATTAATTTTAAGTTTAGTATTTGTACGGTCAATTTAGGAATAACGTTTTTTATATAAACTTGGTTGCGGATTTGTTGGGACAACATGCTCATAGAAGTCAGATTTGAAATTGCAAGATAAAACGTTGTTCTTCATGATGAACCTTGCGAGATAATAATGGATTTAAATATAACATAGTATAGATCAAGTGCTTTTCAAAAGTTTTACTATAACTCCTGCCTTTAGCCTGTGCAAACTTATTTAGAGTACTTAAAAACTTCCTTCACTAGAAGACCGCATTTACAAGTGTATCTGAGATAACATCTCTAACTTTTCTACCGTAGGTTTTCAATTGAAACTATTTTTCAATTGAACCAATAAATATTTTCCACATTATAATCGAGTTTTATGACTAAAGTTACTACTGTAGAAAACCTAAACCAACCCCGCAAAAGAGCAGCGCTCGAATGCACCGCTCAAGTTGTTTATAAATATTTTCCACATTATAAACGAGTTCTATATATGACGAAAGTAACTACTGTAGAAAACCTAACCAACCCTGCTAAAGAGCAGTGATCGAATGCCGTCTTCTACGTCGGGCAGACAGTAAATAAGCTTCCCTGCTCGTCAAATGCAGTCTCCAAAGCGACCATGTTCACCTGATGAGATCTCTTTGTTCATTCCAAACCCCGCTAAAGAGCAGTGATCGAATGCCGTCTTCTACGTCGGGCAGACAGTAAATAAGCTTCCCGGCTTGTCAAATGCAGTCTCCAAAGCGACCATGTTCACCTGATGAAATCTCTTTGTCTATTCCATCAACGTCACAGCTTCATACTAGGAAAATGAAACCGAAATTTCACTACAATTTTACTCATCATTTTATATTAGTTTGTTGTGATCGGCATACCGTATAATAATTGTTTGTTTAGTTGAATCTTCATTTATCTCTGTTATTCTGCAATTCTGAAATTTTCTAAGCCCATCTTTAATTTTATTTATTCTTAACGTATTTTTCTCAATTAGTAGTTAGACTTAAGAACTGAAAAAATGTTTCTTTGGAGAACGACGCGTCCGTATAGTTAGGGGAGAATTTTCGATACGAGTAAGTTAGTGGAAGCCGTTGGTGGAAGTCGCATGTACACAGTGTAAAGTCTATGAATTTAACGGCGAAAATTACTGTCTTGCTTTTTATCCTCCGCAACGAAGTTATGTGTACTGCCGAACTAGACGATCACATAAGGCTTTTATGAAGTGGTAGCCACGTATAGACTGCGGCGGCGTGTGCGCCACGACAAGTTGGACTTCCCCAATGGATGTATTATAACTGAATTATTTAATTAAAATCATTTCTGCATTGCGCTTGCATTTACCTGTTAGTTTGATTTAAGATAATTATGTGATTTTTGTTTCTTCCATTCCTACATACATTAAAATAATTATAATTTTATGTCAAGAAATAAACTTTCTTGAATGAAATAATTCTAAATAATGAAATAAATACAAAGTAAGCCCAATCATATAACGTAATACTACACTCAGCTGAATATTTAAATAGAGACTTTAATTGTCTCTAATTGGCTCTAATTGTCTTTTAATTGTCTTCACTAGAGGCTTTAAAAAGCCTTATAGAGACTCTGATTATTCAATGCAATGAGAGAAAGTGTAGAGTTGCAAGCTCTGCCTCGCAATCGGCGCCGGGAAAGCGGGCATATGATCTCGAGAGAAAGTCTACTAGAAAGTCTACCTGCCACAGCAAGATCATATGATCGAGTGTCATGGCGACAGTCCCAACGACCGCAAACTGGATATATTGTCAGCAATCGGCAAATTGTTTACAGGAACTTCTGACAAAAAAAAAATTTGTGGAGTCCAATTCAAAATCTGTGCGGTCTTTTTGGAACTTGAATCGTTTTCGTTTATTTTTAATAATGTCATGCAAGGATTTGCTGGAAGGTCATTTGAAAAAGTGATAGGTATACTTCATTGATAGGAATCTTTAATTTAGTACTGCCTGCATCGGAAACGTTGTACATATTCTCGTTCGTGTTCCATTTTATTCGTATTAATTATTAATATTGAGCATGAGAATCCTGTTTTCTCGCGATAACGAGTATCGCATGAAAATCATAATTAATTAAAAATATAAACGGCAGGACCGGACAACAAGCATGTCAATTTGATTCAATTAAGAGGGGCGTCTGCCCTCCAGAAAAACTTTCACATTTACTAACGGATCTTTCTGAAACTTCACACGTATATGTAAAACCGAAATACAAGCAGATTTTGTTCGTATGACTTTTTTCGGAAAATTTATAGAAAACGTGAAATTCATAGAAAACGGACAAAAAATGGGGTACTTTAAAAATATATCTCCTCCTACAGTTTTCAAGCTACAGCATTGAAAGATATACCATTCGATTTGTAAAGACCATACCAATCGAGTAACGAAGCCTGATTTTTTTATTTTCTCCTAAGTTTTTTTACACGCATTTTCCAGTTTTCTTCTCATTTTCTTCAGATTTTCCCCCCTCCCCCATTTTGAATCCAAACTATGCATAAATCTAAAAAATGCTTCATTACTCGATAGGTATGGTCTTTACGAATCGAATGGTATATGTCTCATCGCCGTAGCTTCAAAACTCTAGGAGGAGATAGGTTTGCCGAGACAATAAGAGTGAATGTTCAGGAGAGCGCGACAAAGTCCCGCGCGCATCGCAATAGGCACTCAATGTAGCAAGTATGCAAAACTAAACGTTACTGCAGCTTGATTCCAGTCAAAGATGATGGAAGCGACTGCATGCACACCTCCTCATACGACGCCAGGCGGGTAACTAAGGTGCACCTCAAGCAGACACTATTTAAAGTGCTTCCAGCGAATTTCCTCCTATTCTATTTGTTAAAAAACTCCCCCACCTTTAATGATCTGTCGTGAACGCATAAATCAACGTACAGAGATGGTTTTGATACCGTTGGATAGTTCAGAATGTCAGCTTTAAGATGAGACTAAAAACCGGAAAAGCCAAATCCGAAAACTTTAGGGTAGACGCCCCCCTTAACGCAAAACTTCGTGAGGTTGATTTATGAGGGGATCTTCATAATGAATTTTACATTTTGTTTGTGAAATTACAGAGAGTTTTGCGAAAGCTCTCTAAAATCGGTGTAAGACAAAAAATCATTGGCCCAGGAGTGCTTTACTGTAGATATAATATATAATTAATATGCTTCGAGTCGTTTAATTGGGATAAATCAGAGTTCTACAATCATCGCTGGGTGGCCCAGTGGTTAAAGTTCAGAGTACCAAGATTGGCGCAGAGAGGCGCGGGTTCGATCCCAGCTCTGTGCGCCAGTTTCTGGTCAGAATCGGCGAGGAGGCCGGGCGGTTAAGCACAGCAGAATTGTAGCAGTGAGTTGCGAGTTCGAGACCGCAAAATGCTGTGAATGTTCTGCCATGTTAAGAATCGGCGACAGGCCTACGGCCTAATTAACGCTGAAACCGCTATTATTATTATTACTATTATTATTATAAATAATGCAATCTATACTGATAATTATAAAATAATAAATATAATTACAAAATAATAATTATAAATGCACATAATAATTATTGTTGTAAAGATTTCGAACAAGAATACAATAAAGAGATTTCCAACACGATATTGTTGTAAAGATTTCCATGAATTTTTTATGAAAGCTAAAAACAACAAATAATTTTGTATCTGTAATCCTTTACAGGTAAACGATCATAAAAATTACATGAAAACATTTTCCTCTGTGTTTCGTGTGGGGAATTTCTGATGAAACACGTCCGATGTCTGTCCGGTCCCCAGCTGTCCGGGTCTGTCCGATCCACAGCTGTCCGGGTCTGTCCGGTTCACAGCTGTCCTGGTCTGTCCGGCCCACAGCTGTCCGGGTCTGTCCGGCCCACATGCAGGGGGCCAACCTTGTGATAGTCGAGCTATGAACGCACATATCACACCGATGCTGTCTGCATGATTCGAACGAAGTTTGACGAAAATATATTGGCCCGTATGCTAAATAGGGCACTAGCACTACGAAGTAGCGCTTTGCACTACGAAGTGTCCTGTTGGTATGCTAAATACGTCACAGACACTAAGCACTTCGAAGTAGCTCTACAATGTTTAGTGTCGCTTAGTGTCGCAATCATAAGTAATCTGCTTACTGCCTTTTGTCGGCCTTGACACGGAAACTGGAAAAGCTACAATGACTGACCGTTGAAAACAAGAGACTGAGACAACTTTTGAATTGACCAGATATAATCAATTTTACAAAATAATCAATTGTTTGTATGTACAAAATACATATTGCATAAGTTAAAAATTTTCAATTGCTCACACTGTCAGATTTATTAAGATGTCATCACAGAGAAAAAAAGTGATCTCATTTGTGCCTGAAATAGCTCAACCACTCATTTGACATTTCAATTCATACCTTTCTTTGAGCCGAATCCCCAACCAATTGAAACTCCGTGTTTGTCAAGGAAGTCGTTCTATGTCTTTTTTTTAATAATTTAATTATTAGAGGAACAATAAGATTACCTCTGTGTTCCGATGGGTTATTACTATTTTCCATTTGCTATAGCAGTGGTATAAATAGAGAGACAACGGTAAGAATATTTATCAAGTATGTATAGGATTACAGTATAAGGCAGAATGAGGTGTTATAAGAGTAGTTGAGAAGGTACAGATAACGACACGAACACGAGAAGGACAAGCGAGTGCTGGAGCCGATAGACGTGGTGGAAGTATTTAAGGTTAGGCTGCGATGGAATGCCGATATGAGGTGTTGGCCTATGACTGACTGGTG